TCTGAATAAATACAGCCGGTGCCCTGCGGGCGCAGCCGGGCGTGGGGGTGGCAAGGCGGCGTGAGCTACACATGCGGCGACGGGGACAATCACAAGCGGCCCACGAGGCGTGTGACRACACAGAGACGGGTGTAGAGATTCGCTCGGACCAGGCTCCTGCGCTCCAGAGAGCCGAGGGAGGCGTCAACAGGAGGTGAAATGTGTAAGAAGAGGGCTGGGGAGCCCGCCGGAGGCTGGGGCTGGCAGGTGCACGCTGCCCCGGCGTGGCAGGGCCCTTCTCGGCAGAAGCAGGCAGRGTAGCCCAGCTACATTTCTGTTTCTGCTAAGAGGCTGTCACCGAGACCTGACGTCATCAGGACCATCTGGGAGCTGGAATCTGTGTCGAGAGAGGGAGAAAAGCATGACCTGTTCAGGCTGCCAGAGACAGGGCGGTACTCCAGACTCAGAGGTGAGGGTGAGGAATTAAAGCACCGCAGGGTGGGAAGAGAACTGCTGAGAGAAATGTGAGATTAAGTAGGAGCTAGGCCTACTCTGGCCACGCAGCAGGGTGGAGCGGATATTTGGGGAGAGGGAGAGAGCAGAGATGGCAGCAAGAGGCCAGAGGAACCATCAGGTGTGAGTGCCCCCCATGTGCAGGTGATACTGGTTGTGCTGGCCCAGCCGTGCCCTTACCCAGCCCTGCACACCTTTAAGTGTGCACTCACCGAGTGTTCTTCAGCTAGAGAGACACTGTCCAGGTGGGACAGATTTCAGGCTGCAAGCTGGCCAACAACACATAGGGGGTGGTGTTGCCTTCCCAAGAGCAGGGAATGCCGCGGGCAATCAGCGATTTTATGGCAGCAGAGGCCTGGAAATACTGACTTTCTGCACTGCATGAATGGAGGGTTTGTGCAGCTCTCCCCTGCCTGCCTCGGGGAGGTGAGGGCAGCTTGCTGGCTCTGCCATGGCTCAGAGCACCAGCCAGGAACAGTGACTCTGCCCATAGCAAGTGAATCAACTGCAAGGAGGATGGGCCTGCATAGCAAGTAAGAAACTCAGCAGGGTACCAGTTTCCCATCCAGAAGCATTTTTACACAGAAAAAAAAAAATCTGTTTTCTCCTGATGGGAGGGAGAAGATATCTATTCACAGTCCCACAGATTCAAAACTACTGCAAGGGATCTCTATTTCAAGAATCAATTTCAGGAAACTAAATCCAAAACTTGGCCAAACTGTCAATGAATGATTTTTATGGGTTTAATAGAAGAGGATCCAGATGTTTTGAGGCTCAAGGATTGGTTGTGTTTGTCTTCTGGTTGTCGGATATGAGAACTGTTAGGGGTGAAGAGGTAAATAGAGGTAAAATAGAGGTAAAATAGAGGTAAAAAAAGCAAAGCCTCAAACCACCTGGATCACAAGGTAGGCATGACAATATATAGTGGCATATATGCAAACAACACAGAACAGGCTACTGCTGTCTCTGTAATACACCTTTTTTCCATTACAAGCAACAGCCAGACTGTGGCACCTGGCTAACYCTTCACATGTTTGGGACATAGAGACAGGAATAGCTGATGCTGTGCGGATTGCAGAGAGGTTCTGGAAACAGTGAGGAATGACACAAGTTTTGGCTAGGATATCTGGCAGAGGCTCCCAAGATCTTTAATATTCCTGTCCTTGAGTTTTAAGACTTTCAGATTTTGTTCCTGCAGCATCAGGAAAAATGCCTCAGAGGTTCCGTTTCCACTCTTTGCAGCAGCCGCATCGTCCTTGGAAACTGCCTTTCCAAGAGCAGCTCAGCCCAGTGCTATTTAACATGAAGGTCACAGCTGGAGGTGTATGTATTCCATGGAGGTGTATGTATTCCATGGGGGTGTATGTATTTCATGGGGATGTATGTATTCCATGGAGGTGTATGTATTCCATGGAGGTGTATGTATTCCATGGGGGTGTATGTATTTCATGGAGATGTATGTATTCCATTGGGGTTGTATGTATTCCGTGGGAGTGTATGTATTCCATGGGGATGTATGTATTCCATGGGGATGTATGTATTCCATGGGGGTGTATGATTCCAGTTCATGGGGAGAAGGGACAGACCCTATTCACCAACCCCACTGCAAGAGGTCAGTGGCACTGGAAACACCCCAGACATCCAAGTTCCAGCCTGTCAGCTCCTGCCCCCTAGCCCAGTTCCCAGAGCTCTTACTGTTCTGGCAGATCCAGGGGTTCTTCTCCCTGGCTGTGACTTCGTGAGCCTCCGTCTCCTCCTCTTCCTCACCCTCGGAGAGAAGATCAGARATCTGCTGCTGCAGCTCAGGACTAATGTTGTTCTCTGCCAGGATGAGTGTCCGTAGGGCTGTGGGGTAATTCTCTACCATGTCCAGCAAGGTCTGAGGGGAGAGCGGATAAAGAGGCTGACAGCAGCACAAAGAGCTGCTAGGCTGAGCAGAAGGAGTATCAACTCCAGCCCTTCTCTCCCTACTTCTACCTTCCCTTGGCCTTGATCAGCCTTCATCATGAGAGACTGAGGACTTCCCATCTTTCTGTGGGAAGGGCTGAGCTTGGATTTCCTGGCTCTATCTAAAGGAGAAAAGACTGCTCTACACCCTGTTGCTGTCACATTTCCAGGCTCATTTCCTCTTACCACTGGAAACTGGAGCTCTGAGRGGAGAACCTGTGCTACTGAGACTTGGCCTGTACTTGCCCACAGAGCTTTAGTTCTCATCCTCAGCCAAAAATCCCAACCCCTTACCTCTTCCAAGAAAACAGCTGGAGAAAAGCAAGAAACCTCCCAGGTGCAGGGAAGAAAGGGAGTCCAAAGTGTGGTTGGAGGCAGGTGTGGGTCCTAGGGCCTCTGTAGACATCCCAGACCTGTGCCCCTGAGATGTCAGTGATGCTGTGGAGAAACTGTAGGCTCCCCCATACCTGAGCTGACTGGTTGGTAAGTCCTGTTCCCTCCAAGTCCAGCACTTCAAGGGTTCGACTGGAGGCCACAGCAACTGCGAGCATCCCGGCTACCTGGTCACCTGGAGGAGGAGAAAACCAGGGCTGTCAGCAGTGCCTGCCTTCCCTCATGTAATGCCACATGCCCTCATGTGCCTGGGACTGTCATGGGAACATCCTCTGAGTATTTCTGCCATCAGACAACCTTCCAAATTTGTCATCTCGTGATGCAAGAAAGCTGTTAACTGAGAAAAGAGACAAGGAAAGGTGAACCATTTTGTGATATGGGAGTAGTCACTGTGGGAACATGAAGGAACACAGTGAAATTGGTTTTATTCCCCAAGGAACCATATCTTTCCGAATATTCTTCCTACTCAAGGAGGCTAGGGCCTTTAATAGTCCCTGTAAGGCATCCCAGACACAGAATAGGAGCTAAATACTTCATTCTAGGTAAGGGCTGGAGCCAGACAGGACTCTACACCAGCTGATGGACTGCCTGCCTGGAAAAGAAGTATACTTTAAGGGGGGATGCAGCAGGACAAGGAGCATTAAAGACTGATGTTGSTGAAGAGATGAGATTCCAGCATATTCTGACATTCTCTGTCGAGTGCCAAGATGCCACAACTCTGACACCTTCTCTTGGAACAAAACCCAGACTGCTGTCAAGTAACACTCTGGGGCTTTTCCTGTCCAAGAGGAGGTACCTGGTCAGAGAGAGGGGCTGGGGGAGGCTCTGCTTGCAGACAGGTTGAGAAGGGGAGTGTCATCCTGATGCTGAGGGAGGCATGGCCCGATCTCCTCCTCACCACCTTGCAGCAGAGCGGGAGAGAGTTTGTTTCTATGGCAACGAGTGCCAGGCTCTCCTCCTCCTCCTCCCTGCTCCTCCGGGAAGACGAAGGGGGGAGCGCGGGGACATACTGCATCTGCCAAGCCAGCTTCAGCACCCAGAGCTTCGGGAACAAGGCAGACATGGAGGGTCAAATGTGACGACAAAGGCGGTGGAGTGGGCAAGGCACAGCCTCCTTTCTGCGTCTCCCGGCAGGGCACGCGGCCACCTCACACAAGCAGAGCAGTAAGGGTGGCTTCCCCTACAGCTGAAGGTGCCCAGCAGGTGGAACTTGCTGCCGGGAATCAGAGGGCACCTATGCAAGGAACTGCCCCATCCTACTGTTGATTCTCTACTGCCTTTCCAGAACTTCATCCCTGGCCACCCACTGGTGCGAATCGCACAAACGCTGAGAGGCAGAAATGAAGCATCCCCTGCTCCTCCTCCCAGGCCCCCAGCTTACCTAGGGGGTTGTAGTCCAGGTTCAGCACGCGGAGCTGTGAGCTGTGAGCCACTGCAATGGCTAGGCGTCCCCAGCCTTTGCTYGTGATGCCCGGGTTGGCGCTCAGTGTTAGCTCTTTGAGGCCTGGAGAAGGGAGAGAAGCCAAAGCAGAGCCTTGAGGTCCCCAAAGTGGTCACAGGAGAACTAGTTCAGYTCGCCAGAACAGCTCTGGATTGTGTCTCCTGTGCTCTGTCAGGCTTAAGGGCTTGGTTTGCTCTGACAACTGTCATCACATATTTCAGTGATCGGTGAGATATTTTCAGTGATCGGTGAGGTCTTCAGCTGTGGCCCTTCCTTTATCCTTGCTGCAACTGCCCCATTTATCTACTCTCCCAACCTGTGTCCTGCTCACCCTAAATAGCAAACACAATGGAAACAGCTAAGGGGTGTTTGAGACAACTGGCTGGGCAAAGAASGTGGCATGAGGTGATAGGCTGGAGAACAGATAACAGGGACAGCGGGCTCTGAATCCTGCACCTGAAAGGGGTGCCCAGCAGAGATAACAGCATCAGTGGCATTGTGAGCACACAGAGGAGGAGATGCTGGGAAAAGGTGAAAAGCACTTTAAGAGTCGGAAGAAATAAGTGGTATTACCTTAGCACATGCCAGCCCACAGCTTGACYGGGTCACTGGCCTCACACCACCAAAGATCATTCCCTAAGACCTGAATCTTGGCATTAAGACTGTGCACGCAATTACACGCTCACGGAGTGCACCCACAAGCAGGGACAATTCCCAGGCACTAATAATAAAGCCAAGTGCTGAGGTAGGGATGCACAATATATTTATCTATGGTGATTATCAACACATAAATGCAAAATAATAAATTCAAAGTCCAAGCTGTCCCCTTCTCCAGTTTGAAATGCTACTGACATGAACCAGAAGCAACCTGTTAGTCTCTGAGCTCAAAAYTGCCAGCGGGACAGATCAGTAGCAGAAAGCCCAAACCTGCCCAAGGGAACCACTCCTCTATTACTTAGCTTTTCTGCTTCTCTTATATCGGGGAAAAGAAATTYCTTAGCCCTGGCAAACCATAGAGCCTGCCTCCTCCAGGGCTGATATTTACTGCTGCATGCATCTGCTCTATGTGAAAGCTCCACCGGTCACTGAGCAGCCCACAGCCCCTGGTGCTTACCAGACTTGGCCCCATCAGGCGGCAGGAGCCCACAGATAAGGTTGATGCCTTCATCCCCCAGCATGCAGTCTCCTAGATCCAGAGCCACCAGCGAGGGGTGGATGGAGAGAGCAGGATTGAGGAGGGCCAAGCCTGCATCTGTCAGGGGACTCCCATGGAGGCTGTGCAGGTAAAAGGGAAAATTACTACGAGCCTTCTTCCTGGGGGGCTAACTAACCCGACAGGGAGAAAAAAGAAATTAGGTGCATGACAAATRCTAATCCCACGTGGGCAAAAAGCTCTGGAAAGCCTCTGTTGCAAGTGTTGGCTGGCAGCTATAGTGGCCCTCCTCTCCCGGCCGGGACAAGGGGTGCAGGGGATGCCGGYGTGGAAGGGCAGCCCCACCASCAGGGCAGCCAGGCTGGGGAGCGGGACCGAGGCAGGGCCGTGCCCAGCCGGCGAGGGCAGAGGTGGCTCCCTCCCAGCCAGGTGATGGGCAGGGGCTTATCCTCCACAGCGTCAAGGGCATTTTCACTCCGACAAGACTCAAATTCAGGGATTAGCCCCGAGCTGCAAGTCTCCCGAAAGAGCCGTCCCCGCCCGAGAGGGGGCCGGGATCCCCGGGCAGCCCCCGCCCCGCTGTACTCACAAGAGGGACTGGACGGAGCGATTTGTCTTCAGGGCCTCGGCCAGCTGCTTGACGCGATTGATGTTGGAGACGATGCCCAGGTTGAGGTTGAGCTGGGCGAGGGAGCGGGACTCGGCCACCCCGCGGCAGACGTGCCCGAAGTCCCGCTCGGAGAGCTGGCAGCCCCGCAGAGACAGCAGCCGCACCGAGTTCTCCCGCAGGCTCTCGCAGATGTCCCGAATCTCCGCCCCCGACAGCGTCTCCCCGGAGATCTGGATGGACCCCGGCAGCATCTTCCCCCGGCTCGAAGCGCCGCCGATCCCGGGGCCGCTCCGCCCGGGCGCCGCGGGGGAACCGCGCTGCGCGCTGCGGGCCGGGGCGGGCGCCGC